TTTATCGGAACTCAACCTTCCAACATTCAGCTTCACTGGATGCCCACCTGTTATATTGTACGGAGAGAGGGATAAAAACTTTCCTCTCTGTCCACTCTCTCCTTGCCATGCCTAGCTTTGCAGGCTTCTCTCCTGTCGCCTCTCGCTTGCCTTTTCTCTAAACTAAAAACAAACCCAATGCTGCCGCCCTTCTTCAGGGCACCGGCTCCATCCCCTTGCTTAGATTCCCTCTACCAAAGCTGAAAGCAGTCTTAACTTCCCCCTGATAGTGAATGGGAAACAGCTGGCGAAGAGGGCGGCCTGCCAGGGAAGGGATCCCTTCCTAACTCCTGCTCCACGGAGCCCGTTCCTTGCAAGCACCTTTGGAAACGCGGAGCAGGCGCTTGCCGGCCAGCAGCTCCCCCCCTTGCCAAGCTGATCCTTTCAAAACCGAAAGCCCCTTAACCCGCTGGCGAGAGGCTTAGCCGAGGCGAGAGCGCGCTGCCCGGTCCCGGCTCCCCCTTGCTTACCCCTGGGCACGTCCACGCGGTGCCCGCGGCCCACGCTCTGCCAGTAGCTCAGCAGGCGCTCCTGCTCCTGCTCGTCGCCGCCGGCGTTGTCCTCCAGGCTGCTGCCGTACGCCGAGTCCGGGCAGCCGGCCGCCCCCGGCGCCTCCGCCTCCTCCCCGCCGGCCGCCCCGGCCCTCTCCAGCTCCTCCAGCGTGATGGCGCCCGGGGGGGCCGGGTCGCCGCCGCCGCCGCCGCCGCCGCTCAGGAGGCAAGTGCGCGCTTGGCTCTCCATGGCCGGCTGGATCGCGCGGAGGCGGCGCTTGCTTTCTTAAGCTGCCCTGCCCAGCCGAGGGGAGGGGGCCCGGGCAGCCGCGGCGACGCCCTCCAGGCACGTCGGACTCGGGAGGAGCCTGCAGGTGCCCGGCTAGGGCGCGAGCCTGTGGCCCCCAGCCCAGCCCCCTAGGGAATCAGGGGATCGGGTCTCTCTTCCCCAGTGTCAAGGGGCTCCCAGCAAGCCCCCCACCCCACCCCCCAGGAATGAAAGGATGGTCTCCTTCCTCCGCCGCCACCAGCCTACCTCGCAGGGTCCTTGTGATGGAGAAGGGGAAGAAGTGCCTGCACCGCCTCCGAGGAAAATGCCCTAAACGAAGCACCCCCTTCCAATGCGCATTGCAGTCGGCTGCTTCTGGGCAGATCGGGGCTTGTGTATCTGAAGAAGTGTGCATGCACACGAAAGCTCATACCAAGAACTAACTTAGTTGGTCTTTAAGGTGCTACTGGAAGGAATTTTTTTTGTTTTGTCGGGGCTTGGACTGTGAGCCTTTGTTCTTGCTTGACCCGTGAAAGGGAGGCAGAGGCCGCAGGGTCAGCTGCCCAGGGCTCTGCCCGGCCCCTGGGCTTCGGTCAACAGACCCAAGTATGGCACCTTGAGCTCCTTGGAGGGAAAAGCGAGATATAAATGAAATAAATATAAAGAAATAATAAAGGCAATGAAAGGAAGCAGGGGTGTGTGTGCATGCTCAGAGTACTTCTTATTCCCCATTTCCTGTTGGCTACCTTGCTTTCTGCTTTGCTTTGCTTTTCCATAGGTGAGGTAGAGGACATTCCTTTGACAGAAGGAAGCTCCTCTGTTATTTGTGAAAACCTTCCTTTGTTTGTGGGGTCATAGGAGGCAATGGACTGACTGGCGGGAGCCTCTCACCCTGCCCCTGTCCTTTCACCCTATCCAGGATTAAAGAAGGGGGTTGGTGATGGTCCTTCGCAAAATTGCCCTTTAAATGCAAATAATTTGAGGCAGAGTGGTGTAGTGATTAGAGTGGTTAGGCCTAGGAGATCAGGGTTCACATCCCCACTCAGCCAAGATATGCATTTTTCTAGCGAAGTGGATTTGACAGTTCCTTCATTTCCCTCCAAAGCAGAGATGCCTCTTTCTAATGTTGTTGTTGTTAGAATTTATATACCGCCCTATACCCAGAGGTCTCAGGGCGATTCACCTATGTGGGGTACCTGAACAGAATATGGGGTTTCTTGAGTGTGATGCTGTGTAGGAAAGTGGTACTTAGCAGCTCTTCCCTCTTTGTTCTCCTCTGCACAAACTCTGGAAAGAGAAAGCCAGGCAAGTTGGAGGGAGCAGAAACAGAAATAGTCCATGTTGCCATATCAGACTGACAAGTAGATCCTCAGTCTGTTTTGCAATGTGTCAACGTGTGTGTGCTGCTCTGAAATTGACATGGCATCCTGCCATCTTGACTCATCAACATAGTGGAGGAGGCTGCTGGCATTTGGAGGCTGCCAAGCTGAACTTGATCACACAGGGAGCTGACTCAGTTATCTGCGCTGTGCAACTGGACTTCTTCTCAGCCTCAGCTTCCTGGGAGGAAGAAAAGGAGGATGCTTCATGGTTTGAAGGTGTAAAAGGATGTAACCAGTGTTTACTTGCCCTGTTTTTCCTTGTGTGGCTGTCATGGAAGAAAGGACATGCTTTAGCCTGAGGGCACCATCATTCATCTGTTACCGTGACTGCAAGTTGGGAGTCATACTCATAATTCCCCCAGTTCTGCGTGCTCAACCTTTTCAGTCAAAAATCATCAACTGGTTGGTTGTAAATGAAAAAATATATTCATAGCTGGTACAGTGGTACCTCGAGTTACAGACGCGTCAGGTTACAGACTCCACTAGCCCAGAAATAGTACCTTGGGATAAGAACTTTACCTCAGAATGAGAACAGAAATCGTGCACCTGTGGTGTGGCGGCAGCAGGAGGCCCCATTAGCCAAAGTGGTGCTGCTTCAGGTTAAGAACAGTTTCAGGTTAAGAACGGACCTCCAGAACGAATTAAGTTCTTAACCTGAGGTACCACTGTACCTGAACAGCTGTTTTTAGAATAGTAATTCAATAGTACAGGGTACTTGGCCTTGAATAAGTCCTGCACAAAGCCCATTTTTAATCACGAGTCTCCTGTATCAATCATGTGCAATTATGTGAAGAAGGTGGTGCTGGGCAAGCATGCTGTGTCCATTTCCCAGCCTCCATTCTATAAAAAAGGTTTGTAAAATGCAGGCAGAATCCTGTCCTTAGACTGATTTTATGGTACTCTGGGGGCCTGATGCAAGTTGTAACCCAGAACATTTGAAGATGGCTGTCATATCTCCTCTCAGTCTCCCCTGTTCCAGACTAAACATACCCAGCTCCTTCAAGCGCTCCTTGTAAGGCTTAGTTTCCAGACCCTTGATCAGCTTGGCTGCCCTCCTCTGCACACCTTCCAGCTTGTCAACATCCTCCTTAAATTGTGATGCCCAGAATTGGATACAGGGCTCCAGGTGTGGTCTGACCAAGGCAGAATAGAGCGGGACTATGACTTGCCTTCATCTGGACACTAGACTTCTGTTGATGCAGCCTAGAATAGCATTAGCTTTCCCCCATTGCTGCTGCATCACACTGTTGACTCATGTTAAGCTTGTGGTCCACCAAGACCCCCAGATCCTTTTCACATGTACTGCTAGTAAGCCAGGTGTCCCCCGACCTATATTTGTGCATCTGGTTCTTCCTGCCTTAGTGCAGAGCCTGACATTTGTCCCTATTGAAATTCATTTTGTTGGCTTGCGCCCAGTTCTCCAATCTATTAAGGCCATTTTGGATTTTGATTCTGTCTTCTGCAGCATTAGCTACCCTTCCCAGTTTGGTGTCATCTGCCAATTTGATGAGCATCCTCTCAATTCCTTCATCCAAGTCATTTATAAAGACGTTGAACAACAACAAGCCCAGGACAGAGAACCCTGCGACACCCCACTTGTCACTTTTTCCCAGGATGTTGAGGAACCATTAATGAGTCCTCTGTGGGTTTGGTCAGTCAACCAGCTACAAATCCACCTAACAGTTAACTCCTTCAACCCACATTTTACCAGCTTCCTCACAAGAATATCATGGGGGACTTTGTCAAAAGCCTTACTGAAATCAAGATACACTATGTCCACAGCATTCCCCTGATCCACCAAGTTTGTAATTCCATTTAAAAAAAAAGAAAGAAATAAATCAATTGGTCTGGCATGATTTATTTTTGAGAAACCCATGCTGAGCATCCTTTTCTAAATGCTCACAGGCCAACCGTTGATTATCTGTTCTAGGACCTTCCCTGGTGTCAGTGTCAAGCTCACTGGTTGGTAGTTACCTGAGCTTTCCTCCCCCCCCCCCTTTTGAAGATGGGGACAGCATTTGCCCATCTCCAGTCTGTAGGGACCTCACCTGTTCTCCCAGAATTCTCAAAGATCATAGACAGAGGCTCTGAGATTACATCCACAAGCTCCTTTTGGTACCCTTGGATGCAGTTCATCAGGCCCTGGAGATCTGAATTCATTTAAAGTGGCTAGGTGTTCCCTTACTACCTCTCTTCCTATCTTGTGCTGCAGCTCCCTCCTTACATCATTTATTCTTTCTGTAAAAATAATGAGGAGATTGCCAAAGATAGCGGAGTGAAGATGGCCACTGTGTTGTTTCTAAGTAGGTTATGTTTGTTGAACTCATTAGTTCCAGTCTGAAGCTCCAGGTGACTGGCTCTTGCTGTTTGTTTTAATAATCCGTTTTAGCTTGTTTTGTGAAAGATGACTTGAGCAGACAGTGTTACACGCAGGGTGAATTCTAGCCATATCAATATCTTTTACGTAAAACCAGGTCAAGAGATTGAACACAAGAAAATTAAAAGGGTCACCTCAGCATAACACCTTAGAATCAGAGTTTCTTCCTAAGCCATCACATTGTGATTGCATCAATAACCTTATTTAACTGGAATAATAATTGCCTCCCAAAGAAAATGTCTTACAGTCTTACGTTTCATCTAATGTATGCCATTTATGTAAGCTTTTTACATAAATACGCAGCAATATATTTCTGAGGAATGAATCAAGTTTTATTTAAATGGGACAGAAATAGGGTGGCTTTCCTCTTCTGTATGGGTCCCAGTGTGGCTGTGATTGTGACATGCATCCAATTTCCTTTCTGTCCTTTGTTTTACTTTTAGGTCCTGGAAACATTTGCCGGCCGACTGATCAGGCTCCAGGTTTTGTCTAAACGTGAAATTCCTGCACTTACTAAGTATCAGATCATTCTAGCACGGGATCAGTTTAGGAAAAATCCTTCACGCACTGCGGTAAATATTACTCTGCAGTATAATATTCTTATCAGAGAATGTTTGGTTCAAGGTAAAAGCAGTGAAGCAGCATCTATCTGAACACATGGGTCTCTCTTTCTGTTTAATGCACATCTTGAGTGTTTGAAGGGCTTCCTGTGCATTTTCACATAAATTAGGCAACCACCTTTCCCAAACACGTCAGCAGCATCCCCACATTGTTGGACTGAAAGAAAGTGGCTGACCTAAAAGAACCTCCCAGTGGGTTGACTAGACAGACAAGGTTTAAGCCTGGGTATTGTTTGTATGTTCTGAACCGCCCTGTGACCTTTGGATGAAGGGTGATATACAAATTTAATAAATAAAAAAGATATGATTAATCTGAATGCACAGCTCAGTTGCTTAGCCACTACCCTGTGCCAGCTTGTTTGTACTTCTTACCAATGAATATCCACCTTAATTTCCATGCACACACTGTGTGTCAAAGGCCCCAGCTTCAACCCCTGGCACCTACAGTTAAAGGTGGTTATTCATATATCCCACCTTTGGAGAAGGAAAACTCTGGTCCTAAATCTCTGCTGCCTTGTGGGACATCTTTGGGAGAAGAAAAGGCTCAGGAGTAAACCTTACACAAATCCAGGGTGGAGTCCCTAAGCCGGTTGGGTGGCACCTTGCACGCCTCCTTATCGCAACTCCTGCAGCCCAGCTGGTGCCAAATGTATTGCTCTGCTTTCCTTTGGAGCCAAGAAAGGGTCTTGTTGTCTGAGCAGCCCAGGACTTCCAGACACAGTGCCTGGTCGAGGGCCCCAGAGGGGTCACTTTGATGCTGCTTATGCAGCAGTTTGTCATCACCCCCAGAGGCACACTCCATTGCCTCTTGAGACAGAAGGATGCCAACATACAGATCCCACTTTTCCTCCAAGAAGTTAAAGGTGGCGTACATAGTTCTCCCTTCTCTCCATTTAATCCCCACAACAACCCTGTGAGGTAGGTTATGCTGAGAGAGGCAGTGATTGGCCCAAGGTAACCCAGTGAGCTTCGTGGCTGAGCGAACCCTGGCCTCCCAGGTCCTAGTCCATCACCCTTAACAACACAGCACACTAGCATGGCTAGGAAGAGACTCTTGTTCCTCTACCATATCGTTTGCCTACATTTGGTAGGAAGGAAGATGGTACAAGTCCTTTTGGGTGTAAATCTTTCTCACTGGAACTGATGTCTCCACAGGGAATGCAGCAAGGCGCAATAGAAGGAGATTTTGCTCTTTGTATTAGTTTGTATCATGGTTATGAGCTACTGCTGCAAATGGGAATGCGATCCTTATTTATCTTCTTATGCGGAATTATGGATGGATCAAAAGGTAAGGGATTCCTTTGCATGTGGAACACCTTCTGTTATCTTCCCAGATCAGCTGAGGGCATTTAGAGAGATGCTCTGACTCTTTTCAACCCCCCCCCCCGAAAACTGGAAATTATGTATTTAACATAACCTCTAGAAAAATCTTAAAAGACATGGGAAACAGAGCTTAGTTGCTTTCAGACTCTTAAATCTTCAGTCATTGCGGCTCTATATATGCCATAATAATAAATGTGCATATATCCACACACCTGCTGGGATAGCTCAGTTGGCAGAGCATGAGACTCTTAACCTTGGGGTCATGGGATTGAGCCCCACATTGGACAAAAGATTCCTGCATTGCAGGGGATTGGACCAGATGACCCCTGGCGTCCCTTCCAACTCTACAGTTTTGTGATTCTATCTTAATGACAAAAGCATTCCTTTAGGGTCCTCTAAAATGATTTACTGTTGAAGTTTTATTTCTTCAGTGTGAGAGAATTTCCATTTAGACAAATAATACTTTGTTAGATATCAAGGCTGTAATATCTGCTATGTGGAATAAGCATCTCAGAATCAAAATGGCTTTAAAAATAAATTGGTCTGACAGTAACATGGAGGATCCTAGATTTTAAAATGCACATTCATAATGTTTTCAGCTGAGCCTAACAGTTCTTATTGTCGGAAGGGGTTTAGCACTTCCACCCTGACAGGCAAATTTCCAGCTGGCTTTGGATACGGATGGGGCAGACAAGAGAGGGAGTTCCCTCGTTTAGCTGCGGAGGAGTATGGATGCTAATAACTGGTTGAGGTTTAGCTGACTCATCACAACCATGCAACAATTGATGAAAGTTTCCAATTCTTGTGGAAAGTATTTATTCATTAGATTTATACCCTGTGCCATCGCCCAAAGGAGCCCAGGGCAGCAAAGGATAATACAATTTAACTTATAGGTAATGGCAAAGGATCCCTGGACGGTTAAGTCCAGTCAAATTTGACTATGGGGTGCAACGCTCATCTCCTCTTTCAGGCCGAGGGAGCTGGCCTTTGTCCACAGACAGGGTTGGGGTCATTTTGTCATCAGTAGAGGTAAGAGAGCTAGCTATAAAGTATGGCCAGAACGTGGAAGGAAGGAAGACATGATGTGTCAGGGCTGGGCAGGTTGGAGAGGAGCCAAGAAAGTCCTTCGGCAAAGTCAAACCAGGTTGCATCTAATTTCTCATAATTGCCGGCTTGTCTGAGGCAGGGGAGCTCCTGTGTTAACTTTTGCCCAGTTCCAATGACCCAGGTTCTTCTGCAGGTTCTTTTGCAACTTGCATGAAAAGTAATAGACACTTTGAAGTAGAGTAAAACCCATTGCAGTTACAATGCATTCTTGCTTATTGACTCGCTTGTTGCAGATCATGAAAGCAGTTCTAAAAGGGTAGTTCCTGTGTCCAATTTATGTAAGTCATGTGTCATTCCCCCCCCCCCAAGATCTTTAAATTGGTTTACCTCTCTCGAAAGGTATGACTCGTACCAAAAATGAACTTGGGCGTAATGAAGACTTCATGATGTTGTACAGCCAGCTTGAAAACATGTTTGCAGACACAAATGTGACCTCAGCAAATGGTAAGAAAGCAAAGCTAGACTGGCATTTTTCTTCTTAGTAATAAAACACAACCCTGTGCCTTGCTCATTTTTGCCAACGGACACTTTGTTCCTGGCATCCTTATGTCCCGGGAGAGTGGAGTGTACCTTCTGGGGTGAGGTCAAACCTCTACACCAAAGTGACCTCTCCAGGGTGCAAGCCTGGGCAGTGGGTCTGGAGGTCCTGGGCTGCCCAGACAACAAGACCCCCCTCTTGGCTTTGCTGATGTAGTCTAAAGGAAAACTGGGCACCACAGTTCAAGAAGGACACTGGCAAACTGGAACGTGTCCAGAGGAGGGCAACCAAAATGGTCAAAGGCCTGGAAACGATGCCTTATGAGGAACGGCTAAGGGAGCTGGGCATGTTTAGCCTGGAGAAGAGGAGGTTAAGGGGTGATATGATAGCCATGTTCAAATATATAAAGGGATGTCACATAGAGGAGGGAGAAAGGTTGTTTTCTGCTGCTCCAGAGAAGCGGACACGGAGCAATGGATCCAAACTACAAGAAAGAAGATTCCACCTAAACCTTAGGAAGAACTTCCTGACAGTAAGAGCTGTTTGACAGTGGAATTTGCTGCCAAGGAGTGTGGTGGAGTCTCCTTCTTTGGAGGTCTTTAAGCAGAGGCTTGACAACCATATGTCAGGAGTGCTCTGATGGTGTTTCCTGCTTGGCAGGGGGTTGGACTCGGTGGCCCTTGTGGTCTATTCCAACTCTATGATTCTATGAAAACAGAGAAAGACGTTTGGCACCAGCTTGGCTGCAGGAGTTATTGGAAGGAGGTGTGCAAGGCACCATCCAGCCGGCTTAGGGGCTCCACTCTGGATTTGTGTAGGATTCACTCCTTAGCCTTTTCTTCTCCCAAATATGTGCCACAAAGCAGCAGAGGTTTAGGATCAGAGTTTTCCTTCTTGTAGACGGGCTCCGTTCCCAGGTGGATGAGCCCCACCTGCCCCTCACTTCCCTGTACAACATGTGCAGAATCTTCCTTCTTGACCATTGGACCCCCTCTTGGTCTTGTCCGCTCAATCCCCCAGAACCTGTCTTCACAAGCAGGGGAGGTTCCTAACTCACCGAGGGCTGAGTGCAGGGTGGGCAACCAAAGGTAGACAAACTACCCCAGAAGGGGCATGACTTGTCTGCCACCAGAATTACTGCTCCTCCTCTAAGACCTTGTACACCCCAACTAACACTACCAAGATATAAAGACTATTAAATTCAAAAGGAAAATGTCTTGCTTGTGTGAACAGTAATATTGAGTTGACAGGAGAATGGTTAATTATCTTCAGGTTTTAAAAGGTGTTTTGCTTCTGCTAGAATTTGAAGCCTCTTTGATGGTTTAGTTTTGGACAAATTTATTCATTTTATCTGTTATAAATGTTCTTTGCTTTTGACCTTTGTGAAGTTGAATAAAAATGAATCCCTAAATATATGGTTTAATTTGAACAATTTCATTGTTTCTTAACAGTGTGTTAGACCATAATAATAGTCATAACAACAGTCTGATTGTAATTGTTCCAAAGGGTTCCTATTAAAGATAAAGCTGCCTAGAAGTTACAGATTTAAAACAAAAACCTTTGGCCTTACAGGAGATGGAAACGGGAAGCCATTCATCTACAGTCACCCAAAGTTAAAGAAATTAGAAGATGTTGTAGTAGAACATTTCAGATCCTGGAAGGAGCGTGGAGGTACATTTCGGATGTAATTAAAATGCTAATCCTTAGTATGCGTCGATTTACACACTAACTTTTTCTGTTTCTGAAGTGTATTAGGAAATGTGTATTCTGTGCTTTTGTTACTACCAATTATCTGTTGAGTTTTCTCCTCGACTTCCTTCGGTGTATATTTACATTCTGATTGCCAGAGTTTACGGCCTTTTCCCAAAACAACAGCAACTGTTCTTCTCTTAACAAAGCTCCATTCCCTAGCCTTTATAATCACTTGACTTCATTAGCCCCTTACGAAATGTGGTTACCCAACTGACCATCACTGCACCCACTGATAATGCCTGCTTTTGTTTTCAAAAATGCAGAGTTGAATTTGAGGAGGAAATATTGTGGCCTCCTATTCTGCTGCAAGGAGATGCATGGATAACGCACTCAATGAACTGGATTAATTTCAGGGTGTATAATATAGTAAAGAGGCTGCTAAAGGCCTTCTCAGTTTAGGCCGCGATCTCCTTGGTAACGCTGCCCATCTAAAAAAACTGGTTGGAGCTGGGACTATGCATTTTCTGATATGGGGGGTCTCACTCTCTTTCTCCTGCATCCAATAGATCAAAGTGCACCTGAAGGCCAGCCTGGGGAGACCAGAGTCATGATCTTCTCCTCCTTCCGTGACAGTGTGCAGGAAATTGCAGAAATGCTGAGCCAGCACCACCCGGAGGTGAGGGTCATGACCTTTGTGGGCCACTCCACCGGCAAGAGCACCAAGGGCTTTACGCAGAAGGAGCAGCTTGAGGTAAGGAGGGGTCAGGGGCTGGCAGAGAGCCCAACGTGGCAAAGTCATGCTGCGCACGTCTTGCTTGTTGTCGTCAGCGAGATGTTGTTGCAAGGAGAGCTCCGGTGCCAAGAAAGCGCTCTTTGCAAGACAGTGGTGCCCATTTAGAACTTGGCTGCTATGTGCCGATGCTCTGAACTCATGATGGTCCATACCTTCTGCTCGTTTAGCATGTGCTTAAGTCTCTTGATATTTATAGAATTAATGGGCGTGTAACCGTACTGCTCACAGTTGCAAGCGCATGATCATGGTCCGGCTGCAGAACTGCCACTGTTGCACAAGCCCAGAATCATCCTGCCTCTTTCAAATGATGCAGTGTGATTCCCATAAGGCTCTTATGCTCAGTACCTAAATCTGGATGAACCAAGTGGCAGAAGTCTATAGAAACAAAATTACTGTTTGGTATCCAGGTACATTCGGATTGTGTCAGCTGCTGCTGCTGCTACTATTACTACCACTACTATTTGGTAGTGACTTGCCCGGTTCACTACAGCGGAGATCCCTCCGTGGGCTGGAGTGTGCGTGAGCGAACGCCCCGCGATTTTTGGCATCTGCACAGACATGATTTTCAGCGTATGCACATGCGCAGATGCAATTTCTGGCACCACAAAAGCGAGTCCCCACACTGTGCTGGTTTAGCGCAGTGGGCGGGGATTTGCCGAGCGGGTGTCTCGGTTTGGGGGAGGCTCATGGGTGGGTTAAATGACCCCTGTGGGCCGCTTGTGGCCCATGGGGCTTAGGTTGCCGACCCCTTACATATGGTGTAGCTGTTGATCATAGAATCCTAGAATTGTAGAGCTGGAAGGGACCCTGCAAGCGCCTCTCTCTACACCCCCCCCCCGCATTTATTTGTGAGCCACTGCATCATTTTTATGAGTAAGGCCCCACCAAATAGCCAGAGCTACTCACCAGCCAAACCTGATAAAGAAATAAATCATTTTGCAGTTAATCTTTTCCAGAACTGCAAGTGTCTCTCCACTCACAAACACCCACACCCACACACCCCGCTGCCTTTACATATCCTGTTTTTCCTCTGTTGTGGAACTCAAGGAACTCAATATGTGATTCCTAGGGGAGTCGCTCCTTTAGGCACCAGCCAGACTCAGGCCTTCTTAGCTCCAGCAAGATGTGGCAGCAGGAAGCCAGAGGTGATTGACAGGTTCTCTTCACACGTTGCTTAGTAGAGTAAAGCATCAAAAAACCATTTGAAGGAACTAACAAAACTTGAGATTTGAAACCAGCTGCTCAGCAAAATAGGTCATGGGACAAAACCGCTCCTTTGCCAATACGATTGCATTAGCGCAACAGCTTTCATTAAGAATTATAGAATCCTGCCAGATTAACAATATTCACAACTTGGAAAGGTGACAGAAAATGTGGTGCCTAACAATTAAATGGGCTTCTGGCCTGCAAAAAAACAAACAACAGTTCTCTCTCTCTCCCAGGGAGCAGGGCATCAATAAATGGGAGAATCCATATAGCTCATTTCACAAACATCCCACCCGCAGAGTCACAAGGCAACTCTGGCTTTGGAAGTACAGGAGTCATAACAATACTGACAACTCTTGGGCTCCCGTAAAGTGACTCCTTGCAGTGCAAAAGAACCCCGAGGCTGGAGCGCATGAAGAATAAGCCTCCAAAGGGAACATAAGGCACTAGGAAGGAAGGAAGGAAGGAAGGAAGGAAGGAAGGAAGGAAGGAAGGAAGGGCAAAGCCAACACAGCATAATTTTGGAATGAACATCAGTTTCCCTGCTGTCATTAGGGGCAATGTGTTTTCTGTAACAAGCTGGAGAGGCGAGCAGGGAAAGCTGGCAAGCCTTTCAGATTGCTGAGTGCAGCTTTATCCTCTTAAATGCCCATATGACCCTTTAATGCTCCAGGGCAAAGTAGTGCAGGACCTGATTAGCAACAGAGTGTGTGTGTGCATGGGTATTAGTGGAAGCTCTCAGCACACCAAGCTTAGCTTTTCAGATGTGGGTTGAAAAGCAAACCATGCAAACAGAATTGCGCAGAACCATCCCTCCTCCAAGCACAGCTTCCGCAACCTCCCCCACGAACCTGCACCTTTCTTGTCAATGTTCTGTGCTAAAAACGCCTCCCTAGAAGTTCTCTCAACTCCTGGGATCTTGCCCTCATTGCCACAGTCCCAGGGGTGACAGCAGGTGTGCCAGGAGACTCATGTGCATGGCTCAAGTGTGCCTTGAACTGTATGACCACCTGACTGGAGCATTCCAACCTCCAATGGGCTTCTGCCTGGGGCTACAGCAATGCTTCAAGCTAACTTGCTCACCTTCACCGCACTCAGGCTCCCATGGGGCCTCCAACGATCCTTGCTAACTCAGATGCCTGGCATGACCTTTGCAGTCATCCTGCCCCTTCTCAATTTAGGGCCAACCAGCAAAGCTGAGCATTGGTCGATTCAGGACATATGAAAGGAAGAACTTCACCACGCATGGTTAAGCTATGGAATTCACTCCCATGAGATGTAGCTGTGGCCACAAACTTGGATGGCTTTAAAGGGGAATTAGACAGATTCATGGAGGAGGATGAATTCATGGCTTCTAGGCCAGGATAGCTCTGCTCTGCCTTCACAGTTGGAGGCAGCGATGCTCTCCTGAATGCCAGTTGCTGGAAGCCACAGGAGGGGAGAGAGCTCTTGTGCTGAAATTGTGCTTTTGGGTTTATCTGGGTGGCCACAGTGAGGAGAGGACGCTTGCCTTTTGAGGCACAAGAATTCTCCACAACTGTAACCGTGCTCCTGAGTGGAAGTTCTTCTGCGGGCTTCCGCTGTGAAAAGGAGATGCATTTTCAACACTGTTGGAAGTATTCCCAAGAGGGAAAGCAGACATAAATAAACAAAATTATCCAAGCACAGACTGAGGCTGTCTTGCATGGACAGTTCCCATCCTCCAGACATTTGATCCCAAGTGCTGAAGCTGCAGCAACAACAACAGAGCATTTGCACTGCTCCTGCACGTGTGGGACTTGACTCCCTCCTCTGGATTCTCTGCAGGCTTCCAGCCGCAGTTTCCCGCCCATGGAATCCCAGCAGCCATAAGTAGGAGTCGCACATGTGGGCAATTATAGCCTGGAGCCATTTTGTTGGCGTAGGAGTGTGAATTGAAGTAGGAGAGAAAAACCGACAAGTGTTAAATATAACACTCTGACGTTAGTGCAGGCCAAGAACTGCATAGTTACTGCGCGTGACTCAAGCTCCTGAACCCAAAGTGAGTTTGCTGCTTAAAACCTGCCTAAGTGTGCCAACCCACGGCATCACCTGTTCACTGGAAGCACATTTGCATCTCTAGCTAAAGCAGAAGCGCCTGCAAAGGGGTCTGTCACACTTTCCTACAAAAGGGGGGTTGAAATCCACCCAGGGCACACTTTTTATTAAAGAATCGACAGAATAGACCGACAATGCAATCCCTTTAATTTACTGTGCTCTGCATGGTAGTAAACACGGTGTTCGAAACTCCCATTGTTCTAGGCGCATTTTGCAACAGGGAATTTCATTACTTTCTGAGCTCTGAGTGCAGTACTGAGCCTAAGATTTCAGATGAAAACTGCAGAATGAAGGAAAGGAGGACCTTTTCTGCCTCCCGACTTCCAGCTACTCCCTGAAGACTGGAAAAAAGACCCTCTTAAGAATATTAGGGGGGTGGGCAGGGGAAGGACTAGACCATGTGAAAAATGAACATAATATTTTAGCTGCAATTCATTCATTTTCAGCTTTGCATTCTTGTTATAAAAAACACACAGCTAGACATTCCGTTGTTCCATCCATAACCTAGGGGTTTAAGGTGCCCTTTAGCTCCTAGCTTCCATATCTCAGTTTCTAACCTCAAAGTTCAACCACTCACCATTTAATTATTATTATTAGTTACTTTTCATCCAACAATAGCTCAAAGCGACTTACAACAAACAAACAAACAAAACATTACAAACCGCATAAAACAAAACGAAATAAGAATCTAATAGACAATCATATTCTTAAAAGGCAGGATTAAAACATCTCAACCACTCAAGGAGGCCATGGATAATTTAAAATCAAAGGCTGGGCAGAAAAGAAATGTTTTTGCCTATTGCCTAAAGATATGTAATCATGGCACCAGGCGAGCTTCCCTGGAGGGAGCATTCCTCAAATGGGGACCCACCACTGCAAAGGCCTGTTCTCATGTTGCCACCCTCCAGACCTCTCATGGAAGAGGCACATGAAAAAGAGCCTCAGAGGATGATCAAAGGGTCCAGGTCAGTTCATATGGGGGGAAGCAGTCCAAGAAGCATTGGGGTGCAGAGTTGCATGAGGTTTTATAGGTCAAAACGAGTGTTTTGAACTGGGCCCAGAAGCTAACTGATAGCCAGCACAGTTGGGCCAGGATTACAGTTGTGTGCTCAGACTGCCTTGCCCCGGTAAGCAGCCTGGCCACCAAATTTGGCACCAGCTAGTTTCTGAAATCTGAAATCTCTTGTTGGTGTCAACATCTACAGAGGCTCCTGTTGTTGAAGCTACAGCTCCCAAAGCAAAAGCACAGCAGAAAAGCCTTGAAAGGGGTATTGTGCAAAAGCTGCGTTCCTTCTAATGAGCTGCGCCCAGCAAGCACACTCTCACTGAACAGAAAGTCATCTGCTGGGCTCTTCTGGAGCAGCTGTGCGGACAGCTCAGGACTCCAGAGCAGAGCAACTGGCTTCTCTCTAACAGAGGAGAGGTGGCCACCCATGGCCTGCAGGCCAGATCCAGCCTGCCAGGCCTCATCTTTATCTACAAGCGGACTGGGAGATAAGGCTCCGAGTCTGATCTTTAGGGCGATGAGGGATCTTTTACCTCCAGTCTTAGTGCTAAGCACCACAGCACTGTGATGGGAGATAAGACCACTGCCTGCTCTCAAAGCGCTGAAGGCAGCACTGTGGAACCTGCAAACTCTAGCTAGGGGAAAATCCAATCTGTTTGGCCAAGCCTCCGTTGCCTTAGCAATGAAGCCAGGAAGGCATTAATAAAAAGCTTCTTTTATGGTTCCTCTCTGTGTTGATGTGTGCATCTGCATGAAACAGAGGGTTGTTTCCCACTTTTCTGCAGCAGGACACAACTGTCTCCATAGCTTTTTTGTGCTTGGAATAAAAGGTACACAGAGAAAAGCCAGAAAAATCCACACCTAGAATTTTCCAAGTTAGAATCTCATGCATGTATTTGCTCAGAATTTACAGCAAACTAAAGTGTGTTTACGTTAAACTAAGTTGGTAAGATCAGCAGGTCCTCAAACCTGAGAGCCATGAACTCACCTAAGATACATGAAGCATGACACTGCCCCAACCCCGTTAGCAAATCAGACCTCGGAAGCTGCATTGTATGATTTGTGTGATTCACACACCTGTCTGTGAGGAGCGTGAGAAGGGAAGACAGGCTTATCTTTCTTCCGGTATGAGACTGTAAAACTGTACTTTCAATTTTACGCTATGGATTCTTCCGCTCTCAGAGCTGAGAGAGAGCACCATGATTGCTTGTCTGTATATTCTGTAAATAAATTACTAGTTTAGAACTACAATGTCTCTAACGTCTTGCTGTGTTAAGCCAGAAGGATAGTGTGCTTACACCAGCTGGTATAGGTCGCTGGGAGCGCCCTGGAGAAAAAAAGGGATGCCTTTTCCAGAGCCACGCTCACTGGAGTAAGTCCAGAGGAATGGGGGCCGCAGGCACCCCAGGGCCTTTTCTCTCAACTCCGCTTGGGCCTACAAAGGGTCATACGCAAAGGCATCTGAAGATGCTTGCTTACTGGCAAAGGTCTTTTTGAAAGTGCTTTGCGGCCCATTAACTTATAAATGTTCTGCATGGTAGGCTCCAGCTGAGAGGTGCTTTTTCCAAAGCCACCTAGTGAGGTTTATGGCTGACCATAGACTGCCCCCTCCCCTGAGTCCACAATCCACTCCTGCAAATTGCACTGCCTGGCCCCTCGGCCTGCTCAGCTTCCTTCAGCAAAGGCACAACGCCGCCGTCTCATGCAAACTACAAAATCTGACATGACTCTTATAGGGAGATAATGTTTGTTCGGTGAGGCTGTGAGCTTACCAACCTCTTCATGCCTCATCTGCTCGATCATCTCCATCATGCTAATGAAGTGGTGGCAGCGATCCGAGTGGTCCACCAGGTGGGTAGGGAAAGGGCGGTTCTGCCACAGCCTCCACTCTGTCAGAGACAGCACATGGACCTCCTTGGCTTGAGAGTCCTGGGTTTCAAAACAGAGAGCAACACAGAGCTCATTCCAAGTACTGGCTGGCAAAATACAAAGCATCTCATGATCCAGATTGTACAAAAATAGTAATTCCAGTTACAGGGCTTGATGCATAAATAAAACATGAACAGTTATTGCAAGAAGACGACTCTCTCTTAAAATACTCTTATTTTTCACTCCAGTTTGTTAGTTAAGAGACAGAGAGCACCCAAGTACTGTGCATGGACTGTGACACACGTTGTCTTCTATTCAACGGCCAGGGTTGCTGGCAGGAGACTTTCCCAGGCCTGGAGATGTGGGGATTGAACAATGCAAAGCCGGTCCTCTGAGACTTGAGCTACAGCCATCCCCCGGCTGGTGTCTGAAGTTCACGGCAAAAGCAGCCCTTTGTTATGCTTGATAAGGGATCAGTCCACTTTCCTCCTGGCTGAGGCACATCCAGCAAGACAGAGCTTGGAATTCCTGCTCCAGGCCAGAGAACAGCCAACAAGCGCATTCAGGCCCCAACTTACTCTCGTCTCCTCGTCTTCTAATGTTTCAAAGTGACTTCGAGGCAGAACTGGGTTTCTTATTCCATCACCAGCTTTGATTTTATACAATCTATCCCATCTTTCAAATTCTTCAGCTGTAAGGCACCAAGCTTCGGACGGACGGGTTTGCTTTGCATCTGGAAAGTGTTTGGAGGCAGGGAGGGAGAGAAGGTCGATATTTAGAAGAAAATTCTCTCAAATAGGCACCAGACACATAGCTTGTCAAACAGAAGATTCCTCTAAACTCCTGGAGCTCAGCACAAGATTGCCCCCCCCCTTTGTGGATTTGAGCCCCACATTGGGCAAAATATTCTTGCATTGCAGGGACTAGATGTCCCTTGGGGTTCCTTCCAACGCTACAATCCTGTGATAGAAGCAGACCAGTTCTGAAAGCAGGAAAGCCAAGAGGGGTAAGACAGACTTTAGGAAACCCACACACCCCCATTGCATGGGGCAGGAGTGAGATGATGTTGCACCGTGTGGCACGAGGGAGACGATAAAACATCTGGCAAAACACATCTGCACATGGAATGCCCTCATGAAGGAAGGTGAATGAGGAATCTTGCATTCAAACAAGTGGTATGTCTATGTTCCCTTCTAATCTAGATGCTGGACAACACACATGGGAAAGCAGCAAAAGTGCCTCTCACCTGGAACAGGTCTGGATTTAGTCGCTACTAATACCCCTCCAACAACTAAGCCAGGGTGCAATAATGCTATTCCAAAGCCCTCACATATCCATTTATAGTTGGTGGAGCAGGGCCACTTCCACGCCTATGACCCTCTCCATCCCGTTAAGGTCTGCCTCGGGGGACGTGCCAGTGAGATCTTTGTGCAGGGCTTCCTCAGTGGGGGCCCAGAGCTCTGAACTCCCTTCTGATTGGTTGGTGCCTCATCACTACAGTAGACGCACTCAAGGAGGCCTTGAAAACGTTGCTCTTTTGTGCTGCTTGTTGGGACTCAGAGCAGCTTCCTTGCATTAAGCTGCTGACCCTTAAGGTGTGTACTGAATCGGCTGTATCTATTTTGCCATCCCTTTTCCTGCATGCCAGTTTGTGAGTGCATGGCCCTAAAAAGCAGCCTTTAAATAACAGCAACGCCCCAAGAGGAGGAGAAAAAACGTTATGCACATCTTACCTGCCCCAGTGGGATAGGGAAGCCACTTTTGCAGCAGAAGAGTGTGGTCTCTCCTCCCTTTTGAGGTGGGCTTGGAGGGGCTTGGCTCACGCTCCGCAGGCGTGATTGGCATCCTGTGCATCTTCGGGTCGATGCCTTCCGGAATCATCCGTGGGCTGTGCTGGTATAAGTGGAGCCCTTTGTTTTCAGAAATAGCTTTGAGGAGGCTTCTTCTGTTTAACTGGCTTTGATTGTATGTCTGCAAAACAACGGAGAATTTTGGTGGTTTCTTGTTTGCATGTGGGGGGGGTGCAATTTCCAATCCTATGCATGTTTGCCTGAAAGTACACCCCACTGCATTCAGCAGGACAGACTCCCAAGGAAGGATGGACAGACCTGCAGCTAAAGCAAGCTTGAAAACAAGTTGCTGAAAACACAGGAGGGGAAGGCGATTCTCCTGAGCTTGAATGCTGCTGGGGGTTTCCAATAATGGGCATCTGGTTGGCCACTGTGAGAACAGGATACTCGACTAGATGGGCCACTGGCCTGATCCAGCAAAGCTCTTCTTATGTTCTTAGGCTTGCAGACTTTTGTATACTTGGGTCAAGTGCCAATCCTTTCTGGGCCAGCAGCACTCTGGACCAGGGGTCAGCAAACATTTTCAGCAGGGGGCTGGTCCACTGTCCCTCAGACCATGTGGAGGGCTGGACTATATTTTGAAAAAAATAATAAAAATGAACAAATTCCTATGCCCCACAAATAACCCAGAGATGCATTTTAAATAAGAGGACACATTCTACTCATGTAAAAACATGCTGATTCCTGGACCGTCCACAGGCCGGATTTAGAAGGCGATTGGGCCGGATCCAGCCCCCAGGCCTTAGTTTGCCTACCCATGAGATCAGGTAATTTGGTAACTTCCTCGGAACCCCTCTGTAAGGCGTCCCTGGAGGCTGTCATTATTTCTTCCAGCTAACTCAGCCTGCCACTCACCAGGAGGACATACCCTGGATCCAGTAAACCAGTGGATACAGGAAAGAGAAAGCAAAAATAAGCCGCGTTTCTACAGCCCACAGCTGCTGGACTGTTTAACTAACCCTTGTATGTTTAAAACCAGGATTCCTAGTTCACATGCAACAGTAACCCAAGAATCATTGGCAGAAGGTCTACTCCTGCCATGGCCAACAGAAGGAAAAGAGGCGGAAAGGGGAGCCTGCAAGCCCAGAGCTTTGCTTGGGGCTACTGAGGCTCATCCATGGAACACTAGACCATGGTTTAATATTACAAACACACTAGTCCATGTTATCAGATAAAGCTATGCCCTCCTTGTTGCTGGCTTTGTGGGAGATGGATACACAGAACATCTGGGCACGAGGATCCTAAATGTTTGCCACAGCAGACCTGTCCTGCCAAGCCATGCAACGCTGGGCCCATTACTCAAAGGGCTTACTTCCAGGCACAGTAAGTCTTAGGATTTGGGTTCCCGTCTTTGGGAAATTTGGAAAAGCAACTAAAAAAAAGTGGGTTATGTTGAGGAATGCAATGAGTTGGCTGCGGAATGGGCTCCTATTGGCTGTATGTCTTACTCGCTCTTCCCGTCCTTCAGAAAGGATGACCACGATCCGCCCTTGCCGCTTGCGCCCGGTTCGGCCCATTCGTTGCACAAGCCGAATTGGACTTTTTTGAGCATCAAAACAAACGATGAGGTCAACTTCTCCAATATCCAATCCTTCTTCGCCCACACACGTGGAGACTAAAGTGTTGTAGCCACCCTCACGGAAACGTTTCACGACCTAAAGGAGGATGGAAACACTTGAGCATTTGCTTTGGAGAGA